TGTGGTGAGTCAGATAGGAAGCGGCTTTTGGCTGCTGATATCAGCTGTTACCACCTAGCCCAAGGCACCTACATACAACCCTACCATAAACACCTAGTTTCTCTGGAGGACTGATTATTGCCAGAATACTTGACAAATTATTGAAGTTATACTTCTTTAGGCGCGTTATGAAAAATTGATGAGAGTGAAATTTTAAGATGCGCGCGCATCACTGTAACACAAAAAATTAACAGCATGAAGTTGGTCGCTTTTCATGCGTTACTTTTGTGTTTACCGCACATTAAGAAAATTTACCAACAAAATAGAATCTCTATTTAGTGGGTGCTAACGACTGCATTGTGAAGGCCTATCAAAAGTATTTATTAATCTGGAACAACGGAACCAAAGCGCGATTCAGGAGACTACAGCGCCATCTCTTGACCATTGGTGTAGTAGAACCAAAAACCACATCTTTATTTTTTGTAATAAAGTAACAGTTATAGGTATTCATATTTATAATATTTATCCACATGTTTCTAGTTTGTATATTCGGAATACGTGTTTGAGTTTCATACAAGTGCAAATCACATACTATTATGTTCTAATAAATTATATTCAGTAGCGATTTTAATTGAATATTTTGATTATTTATTTATTTTTTCAAATTAAAACTGAACTTTATTGACTGTGTCCTTTTCCAGACTTTTTATTAATTTATTGTAATTAATTATTTGCATGCAATTAAAAACTAATTTTAAACGATGCCAAAGAAGGATAACTTCTCACGCGCCTACATAAGTACACGCACCCATTTTTTTTATTTTCTTAAGGCGGCTTCATCACCGGGTTGGTGCGGGCTTGTTTCGTTTTTGTTCTGTACCAAATCTGTACAGATTTTTTAACGAGTGTATGCCATTAAATGAGAGCTTCCTCACTGAGTTGTTTCGATACATATTCTTTACTGAGCCGATACACAACTCTGTATAGAGGTACCGCGTGCTACCGAGTATCAACCTACCGAATCGAATCCTTTGACTCGTCCGGGTTCTTCCTGTCACTCCACAAAAGCAAAACCGTAGCAAACAAAAGGGAACGATACCGCATCGAAACCGAGAAGTCGTCTTGGTAAAAAAAAGATTCGGTAAAGAACTAAGCGATTTTGTTGCCATTATCTTATTTAAAATATAAATAATGTTATAATAAATAAATGTTATTTTGTTGTCATTCTATTAAAATCAAAATTTTAACTTATGATAATTTGACATTGTCTGTTTGTGCGATGTAGTGTTTTGGTATATTTTTGTATGAGACAAACATTTGACAAATGAAAGTCTGTTCGTGCTCAAGTAAAAAATTGTATAAGCGATTGCCAAACGATCAAACCGTAAAAAAACGCTTTTATTTACCTATTGGACCGTATATAAACATTATCTGGGAGTTGTGCGCTCATACTTACATATTTAAGTTTAATGATTCTTAGTAGGCTTCAGTAGGTTGTTAGGTTTGAAGCATATTTTAATTGGATAAAAGTATACTTGAAGGTTAATTAAAGCCTTCATAGAGAAAAATACGTGTACGTGTTCAAGGGCATCCGATGTAATGAATGCCTGTTAATGTATTTTTCTCAATTACAGGAGGTACAAATCGATGGCTCCTAAGTATAGTGAGTCATCTCCAAAAATCGAATCTAATTTACAGTTGAGCGCGTCGAAGATAAATTATTTATATTTCTCTTATTTTTTGTACTAGAATAATGTTTTTTTAAAGTTTGGTAGTTTATAACTTTGTTATTTATAAGTCATTAAAATTAAAAATCTAATGTATACTTAGTATCTTATATATAGATGGCTACAGAACCTAATTATTAGTAAAAGGTATATCACTTTTAGAATCACTAATCTAGATGACAAAATAAGCCAAACGAAGCGCAATAAGGGCACTAAACCTACCTTTTCCTGAAGTGCTTCGTCGCTTTTTGAATATTAATAACTTGGGTTTGGATTATGCCAGATAAACAAAATTCTCGGGATATGTTGTCAATAGCAGACTTAATAAAGTTTTAAATTCATATCTTTTATACTTTAGATTTTATTGATATCTAAAAAATCAATGCTCAAAAATGCATTTGTTGTATATATTGTTCGAAAGTTCATAATTGCGAACCATCCAACTAAGCGTCCGTAAAACTGTTTACCGCATGCCCCCATAAATGGCGCCGTCCGTCAATCTCTGTAATCTAAGCGGTACTCGTGACTATGGTAAGACCTCGACTTCGTCTCGGGCTTACATTCGTCTACTCTTTGTAATAACCAACTTACCGCACTTGTATCATAAATAATATTATAAATAATGCTATAAATTTGATAACCACTATTTTTTCAAAAACTCTGACCGTTAATTAGATAATCGCGGAAATCTGTTCGCTGTGAACCTTGACCTCGTAACATTTTTAGCGGCACAATGAGGACTTTTGGGATTTTGTTTAGAACCACAAAAATGTTCAAGCAAAAATCCAGCTTTCCCCTCTTTTTCCGAAGTACAGTGTTCCCTGTGCTATAGGGACTCCTTGTTAGTATAAATTAAAAAAAAAAATGTAATGTAATATGTAATAAATTTTTAAAAATAAAAAAATATCACAAGCAACTTACAAAAAGAAATCCCACCGAAAATAATTCCAAGATGAGACCATATGATTTTCAAAAAGTAATCAGATCATGTACAGCAAAGCCGCAACTATACAAGGCCGAACTTCACAAACTTTATACCTTGGTGAAAATATGTGGCTTGCCGTTACGTTACTACAAGAACTATTATATAACAGAAAAGTAATGAACAGTGTATAAATTTTGATAAATTGACACCTTATGCCTATGTGAATGTAGAGAAATAGCCAGGTTACATATTTTGACTAAGGTGCATAGTTCGTGAAGTTAGGTCTCGTAGAGTCCTAACTCTATTATATAGCCCTAGCGTCTAGAGTTAGAAGCTTGGCTCTTCATGAGATGATAACTTTTTGGCAGTGCTAGTCATTATATTCTCGTATTGGTAGCATTTTACAAGAAAATGATTTTGGTGGGATTGCTTTAATTTGGCTGTTAGGCCATTTATATTTTTGTAGTAACTAGCAGTCCGCGCTACTTCGTACGCGTGGATGTCTGAAAATAATAACATAACGCACGTAGGTGGGCAGGGTCTTTTTCTGGTGAAGTGAAGAAATTTTGCTTTCATTTATAATTATACTTCTTTGTGAACGCTATTAGATGCGAAATAATTTGAGACATTTAGATTGAAAAGATTGAAGAAAAGATTGTTGGGGTTATTTACAAACAAAAGAGCTGCATATAATTTTTGCTCATGGGTAATTAACCATACGGAGGTCCACCATCGCAATCAATAAAGTCTGACCCTGTACTTAAGAGCCCTTTCACATTTTTTGCTATAAATCGTAATTTATGAGCGCCTCGTTTACTCCCTTAGGAAAGATTTTGACTATTTCCAATAGAAGTAAACAGTAGATTTATTCTTCCTATTGTAAGTTAATGTAGAATATTTGCAAATACTATTATTATATTAGGTACTATTCGTTTTTTTGTAATGATCGTTCTACTGCAGCTATTTTACGGAAAAAAACGATAATATGCACAACTTCAAACGCCCCAATCACTCAATAATGTTCAATAAATTAGATGAAATTAATTACTACGATATCAGAAATATTTTTTTGTTGTAACATAATGCATTTTAATTGATTTTCCATCTCATTAATTATCAAAAAAAAGATGTAACTTACTATTAAAAACTTTCATAAAACTAATCTACCATCATTGAACTACTGAAATATGTATATATTTTTATAATTAGTTCATTAATAATTATTTTATAAGAGTCGAAACATCACCCGTAAAATGCAAATCTACCTACGCGCCGATTAGTACGGCAGCGGCGCAATTTTGTAAAAGGGCTCTTAAAGTTCTAGCTCGTAGAGATATAGCCAAGGAACGTGGGAAACAACAGTACACAAAAGAAATAAGAATGTAACGGGACAATGATAAAAAGGTCGCCAATTTTTAATAGTAATTTACTTATATTTCCTCCTAAATCGTTTAGGTAGTATCAACTATATTTGTATTTCTATTCAAATTAAATAAAGTTGAGCTCTGCTAATCATTCTCATCGAGGGTATCTTCTTAAACTTTTTAAACAAATATAAAAACTAATTCCATTAAACCAAAACCACAAAAAATTAAGAAACAATACATTTTCTTTACTTAAGTCTAAAGTACCTTTGAAGTCAAATTATTATTTGGTGTCGGTGCCATGCCAACCGTAGTAGTAAATGGAAAATTAGATCTGCCAAACATGCATGGTAAAGATCATTTTTTAGACTTCTTTAGACTTAAGTAAACACTAATGCATTATTTCTTAATTTTTAGTGGTTTTGTTTTTATGAAGTCGGTTTTAAAATGTTTTTTATTTTTCACTCTTTATTAGCCAGAGCAACATCAATATCCTATTTCCCGGGCCTGTATTCTCTCTCTCATAATTTGTAAAATAACCAAAACGATAGGTGCACTTGAGAAGTTCCGCTGTTTATTTCCGAAAGAATTTATCAGATCTTTACAAATTTATATGGGACCATCTTGCTAACAAGCTGTTCGGTCAAATGGCATGGCCCAATCTCCCTATTCCATCCATAGGGAAAGCCTGTGCCCCAGCAGTGGGGACATTCATAGGCTGACGATGAATAAAATAAATAATGAAAAAGGGCAGGCTAAATAAAACTGTGTAATAGACTCGAGTACTATAGAACTGAAGCAGTAATCTTTATTTATATACTTCCTTACGTCATAAACATCTTAAATTGGTTTTATAAGTACGTAAAAAGTTTAGTTTTTATTATCAAACTTGCCACATGACAAGGTGCGATTCTTTTGTATTTTTAGTAAATGTCGATATAATTGATGTTTCCCATATTACCTACCATGAATTAAATTATGAATCTCAGATTTATTTTGTTGCAGATTCGAGAGCTACTTCGTGTTTTCCATGAATTACGAAACTCAACAAATGATTTTGATTGAGGGTGGCTGGGTGATAAGAAATTTTCCTACATAGACATCGAAGCTTTTCCGAAATTGGAATAATACCTGAATAACGTACAAAGAATACGTAAGCTTCGCCAAGATGCATTTCATACGCTCCTTTTTTAAGCGTATATTAAATGATCTCAAACTAAAAAAACTTATTCCGCTGAAATTATTGTTTTTCGTTCATGCCTCCAGTAAGTATATAAATTGTAATCATAATAAATTTAGATCGTAAGTTTTTCCAAATAGATAAACGCCGTTTCGAAAACTGACCTCTAAAGTTTTTAATTTGGACAAAATAAATTATTAAGAACAGCTTTATGAGTGCCAACCACAACCACAAAAGAATGATGAAAATGTTTGGATAAAAGAATTTCTTATTTACTCTAGGAAAATTAAATTGTGCGGGCGCGGTTTGATAGTATATTAAATAAAATCAGCCACACATCGTCACAACATTTTTTTTATATTTATAGAAGTTATTATCTTACGGGCTACCTGAGGGACTTTGCAAGTGGATATCCAGCTTCTTGGACATGGAGCTTGGACGGAGCAGCTCCAAACCCATGACTAGGTATATATGCTGGAGTTCCTCAGGTTTCGGTGCTTTCACCGACCCTGTTCATTCTACATATCAATGGCTGCTGTCAGTTCCCGGCATGCATTGTTATGCAGATGATAGCACGTGGTGACGCACAGTATATCGATCATCCAAATATCCTTAGAGCTGTAGATTCGAAATAGCGAACTAAGCCACGGTTCTTTTGCGCGGGTCTCCGAATGGGGAAGTCAGAACCTCATCTCGTTCAACCCTAGTAAAACACAAGTTTGTGTATTCATTACAAAGAAGAGCTCATTTGCTGTCACACCACAATTCCAAGGAGTCCTGCTGCATATTTCGAAAAGCGTTGGGTTGGAATGCTAGGTGTTGATGAATTGGAATACCAGGTCCAGTATAGGAACCATTTAGAGGGCAAGGTCAAACTGACCTCTAAAACGCTTGGAGCTCTTAATCGATCCAAGCAGTACTTCATGTCTAAGCAAAGGTTTCTGTATTATTAAGCGCAAATTAGGCCCTACATAGGAGTACCTATGTAGGGCCTAATTTGCGCTTGTCTGGATCTCTAGACTGTAGCTTCCAAACGCCAGTTGGATCCCCTCGATTCACACCGGTCTTTTCCTATCCTGTCACAGGAGTCACTCATATTACCTGGAGACATTGAAGTCCACAACTGATCGTTTCCAGAGATCATCTATGCCACGGACAGTAAAATTATGAAATGAGGTCACCTCCACGGTGCTCCCTCGGTACTATAACATGGTCTTCTTCAAGAGAGGTTAAAATAGAATGTTCCACGAAAGGTACGGCACGGCTGGGTCACTGGTATTGGTGGTGCGTCCGCTCATCAGCCTTCGAGAGCAATAAAAAATGCTAATTTTAAAATCAAGCAAGATAAAGCCTCTAATCAGCTGAAGACATTTCAAAAATTTCGGGTGACTTTCGTTTGTCAGTGTCAAAATGTAAATATTGGTTACTGTTTACAGCATTGTTCGTGTTATACCCTTACCTGACGATCCACATGCGCGAGCTGGGCATCAATGTGGAGGAGACGGCGATCATGTCAGCGGTAACTCCCGTCGTGTCCATAGTCATGCCGCCGTTGGCCGGCATGCTGGCTGACAAGATCGGCAACTTTAGGGTGAGTCCACGCTCCGTAGACAAGTCGCTATCTTTCTATTCCAGCATGATTCCAGCCAACTTTAAAGTTGATATTTTTTTCAGCATTCACTCGGAAGCTTGTTAGTTCCGCACAATACTTATAAAATGTTTGATAGGACATGAAGCTTTAATAGTTCTATATTATTGTTTAATTTTAAAGTTAGGTTAGTTTAACTGTTATTTTAAGCATTAAACTGCTACATTTTGAAATCTAAAGAAAAAATTCTTCTGTCCGGCTAGAGGAAGGTGCAGGTTCGAATTTTGCCTGATGCCTGGACCGAGTGGATTTATAGTAAAGTTTTCTATATATTTGAAGTAAGCGCTAGCGGTCAAACTAATAGATTAGATAGATTGCCTCTTTACTAAGCCCTCAGATTACATATACGAAATCATTACGTACTTTCGTTTCTATTCATTTCTATTGCTCTAACAACAATCATTAATTACGTTTAATTCGCTTTTACATATAATTCTTTTCAAATAGCCGCCTTTAAATTAGATTCTAAAACTACTCTATCTATGACAGATTTATTCCGGTATTTAGAATTGTGTAATCGGAAGGGCATAAGCCATCCTATCAATTTGTTGTATCATAATTTTCGTAATACAGGCAAATTAGTGTTCTTTTTGTGAGTTTTGGTATAGGTAATGTGACATGTAACAAAACGACAATATTAACGAATTCATAACCGTGACTTCCATGATAAAAAACCTTGCGTTCGACCATAACAATGGCAGCAAAACACTGGGTCTGACTGAGTCTAAATGGCATCCTGAAATTGTTGGACAATTCCAATTCGCAACGGGTTATCATCAATACCAGAATTACGTCTTTCATGATAAATTTGGTGCAAAATCAATTCTAGGTTATGTTTACGTATCGTATATCGTCCGCTCCCATGCTGATCTTCCGGTTGAGTTGTATAAAGCATTAGCTTACATGTGGGAGTGATCGAAGCCTATTGTAGTCGGTATAATCGGCAGTTAATGTGTAAAGGATGATGCTTGACGAGCCTAAAGCGAGTCAAATCCAATTCAGACACAATGAATCGGAGACGCGTTGATAACCTTTACCTTGCATTGTGGACAGCGGCATTTTGTTGTGCGCGATACAATCGAAGAAGTTTTTTATGTGACACTTTTAGGCGCTATAGGATTGGAATTTCCCTAATAAATCGAATGCACTAAGTTTTTAATTGACTACTAAAAAGTAGAAAGGTTCTGTCTTCATCGTGAATGTATTTTTGTGATATACGCTGATATTAGTAAGGGCCTACCCTGTGGAGACCTGGAACCTGATTCCCCTAGGATTGGGTCAGGGTAGGCAACGGCGCGAGTGATATTTTGACGTGATAAGGTCTTATAGATCGATGAACACAGGCTGCACACACGAAATAGTGCGTCGTCATGTCACGAGTCACGTTATGTTAGTTCAACGCTCCGCGGTATGTGTAAGGTGTGGTCGAGGGTTTCCTTCAACCCCCTCCACCGGATCCCCCTTCTTCCTTACACCCCCTCTCCCCTCGAAGACCCCCGTCGAGCCTAACTCGGGCTCCCATAAAGCTACAGAGGCTAGTTTGGGCTCAAACGAACCGGAATGGAGCAGAATGGAATGGTGGAGCAGCCCCGAGGAAAACTGCGAACGTCACGTTATTACGTAAAATAGGCTAGTTGACTCATGTCGAATTGTATTAAATAAATATTTATTTCTTACAGTATTTGGTCTAAGGAACTTAAATATATCGATTTCACTTCATAAAAGCAGAAGATTGCTGTAGATATTTAATTTAAAAAAATATTTTTTAGTCTATATTTTTTAAACACAAAAAACGCTGTTAACTAAATGTCATTCGCGTGTTGTTGTGGGTGGATTCTTTAGCCTGAATAAATTTATCTTAAAACACTTTTAACTTTAGAAAAGTTTCCGTTTACTGTTTTTTTTTTGAAAAAACTAATTATGGATGCCGGCTTTGTGAAAGCAGAAAGCACAAATCTGCCAAGAATTGACGCATTAATGGTTGGTGATTTTTTTGCACTAAACCCCGATTTCGGCTCTGCGGAGCAGAGAAACGACAAGGCATCTATGTAAGTACAGTGCAATTAGTATTACAATGTATTAATAACATAAAACTGATACAACATAAGAATAAGTGTAATAAAGTTGCGTAGGTTAATTTCTTTCGGCACCTTAATCCACAACATTCCTACATTCTCGTACAGTACAATAATGATACTTAATTACTTTATTCTTCGTGGTATTTATTAGAAATCATGTTCTTTTAATTATAAACTCTGATAAGTTACTTTCTACGTGCTTACGAGTTTTTGTTTAGTACAGTTGACACCATAGCATAGACAATCTATAGACTAAAATGGCCGACAGCGTTTTTGTATGTCCATGAAAATTCTATTTTAAAATTAAAGATACAATTCATTTTTTTCGGTCTAATAGAACGTTTATTAACCATTTAAAGCCTTTTTCCAAAAAGGGTCAATTAGCCTATTATCGTTCGTAAACTTACTTTACAGACTATAACTTTTTGTATCGCTAGCGCCTATATATGCTTGTTTTCCACCCTTTGAAGATAATAAAAAATGAAATCGTGAATTATTAACTGATTTTTAAATGGCTTTAATCATGTGAGTTTGTTTTAGATTTTGTTGGTTCAGTTTTGGATTCTCATGCGCTGCTACTGCTAGAGAATGGTGGGCTTGGGCATTTACGACTGTTTGTAGTGCGGCCATTGAGTCGCTATAGATTCCAACAGTCTGTTCTTTGTGTTTATTTAATTGTTTGCCTTGCAGAGGGTCAGAAATTTCGCCTGGTAGTCCGTGCAATACGATGATAGATAAAGTTTGAGGGCCCTTGTCTCGCGCTGGCTATCCCACAATTAGAGCACCGCTCCGACTCTAATCTCAATCCTGCTCCCTTCTGTGTAAATACGTAGCTCGTATCTACTACGTTGGCCGAGCTGTTCCTGATTGGCCAGGGCAGTAACGCTAATGTAAATGCGATCCGCGGGGTGTGGTTGATTTAACACGGATTCTGGGCATTCTATTTCCCTATCCAGCAGCTTGGGCCGTGACACTCCTCTTCTTGCTTCGTATACCTGTGCTGCTTCACGAATTCTAAGGTCAAGCGGGAGGATCTCTGACAAAGTCAGCGCTGAGTGGAGGGAGACCGTTTTGTATGCCTAGCATTAAAATATTTTTTCAACACTCAGTATATTTAAGCAGGGCCCATGCGCTGGTGACATAGGTCACTATTGGTTCAACGGCTGCAGTGTATATTGATTTAACAATTTCCAGATTGAGCCCCCAGCTGGCCTTTGCAGGAGATAGGTATATTTATGTAGCAAAACATACACAATCGTAACTGGGTACGTAGCTATTTGTGTCCCACCTGTGATAACATACACTTTTCAATCGTAATAATCATTTCCATGTCGATATTAGTGTTGCCCAAATTCAGTCTTGGTCTTGCAGTCTTGGTCTTGTTCTTGCATTTTTGCAAGACCAAGAACAAGACCGCGTATTTTTAGCAAGACCAAGACCATGACTGACCGTGCAAGACTTGAGCAAGAACAAGACTAATCCGGCAAGACTCTTGCGTCTTGCAGCTAGGACTTAGCGCTATTTCACGGAGTAGTTAGGTATAACAGTTCGGTGTATAGGTACGCTTAGGAATTCTATGAGACGCAAAAAACTGTATCAAAGAATATGAAAAACTGGACCTGCGCATTACGACCAATATCATAAACATACATAGCGAATAAAAAAATATCCATTAAAATCAAACAGAGTGCATGCATAGTTTTGTTTTAACCATCGGCACTTTGATAATGCGGCATCAAAGGTTTTGTACTGACTTCTCAAAGAAATTTGCCGCTTTTCGGAAGTTCATGGTGATGATACACGTGCCGGCGGCTTCTATTGAAATCACATACAACAATCGTTGCCGTCGCGCCGAAATCACAACATTTGACACTATTTGGTTGCCGCCACAGGACCTAGGTATACTCATGCAAAATTCTAATTTCGTGTCGTGCCGTCCCACTCACGCTAATACTATTTAATATATGAGCGAGCGAGACAGTACGACACGAACTTTGATTTTCGAATTTTAGAGTACAGGTGTTCCAAAGAAAAAAATAGTTTCAGAGTGCTTAGAATGGAAACGAATACATTATACTGATCACACAAGTAGTATTATGATTAGATAATGGTAAGGATAGGTAGTAGATGTCATAATAATTTATTCTAGTAAGTATACAGGGCGTCCCACGGCTACCTCACACGGAGGGAAAGTATATTAAATATTGAAGATAGGATATTTTACTAAAAGAAGACATCATTTAATTTTTAATAATAGCTAGAACTGCATTCACAGATTTTTTTTAAATCACCTGCTACAACTGGGAATCAAACTCGTAAAATTCAACCTACAACAAAATAACCCCACAAAACAAGTCCAGTGGGGTTAGATCTGGGAATCTCGTTGGTGTGGGATTGTTATAAACCGGGTTCTCTTAATACATTTTTACGAAGGAAATCTGAACACGGAAAGACATCTAGAAATACTTAATATTTGAAGAGGTGATCAATAATCTTCCTGATGCAAATCGACGAAATCTCATTTTCCAGCAAGATGGGGCTCCGGTTCATAACAGTAGGAGAACTGCCGAGTTTCTTAATGAACACTTTGCTTCCTGGATAGGTACTTATGAACCAATAAGATGGCCAGCGAGATTCCCAGATCTAACCCCACTGGACTTGTTTTGTGGGGTTATGTAAAAGATGTAGTATACAACAAGCGGTACGACAGTGTGCAGGAGTTACAAAATGACCCAGACGTATTATTACAAACATTCACCACGCAAAGATAATGAAATCGACAGGCAGAGAAATTATTATAAGAGTGAGAATTTGCATACAACGAAATGGATCACATTTTGAACATTTGATAAATTAAATTTTATT